GGGTCTGGGCGGGAGAGTGTGAGTCAGCAAATGGGGCGGGGTCCGCAGGGGTCACTGGGGACACCGCAGACCCGGGGGGGAGTGCGAGTCCGGGTTGGTGAGGGTGGGTTTCCGCTGAAAGGCCAGAGGCCGAGGGAGCGATCAAAGCAGATAGTCTTCCTTTCCTTCTTCGTATTATTGATAGTTAACCGGTGCTGAGCCCTTGCCCTCTGCCAAAAACTGTGTGAAATGCCATAACACCTATTACCTCACTTAATGCTCCCTGCCCATGCCACAGACCGGGCCGGGCTTCGCAGATGTTTCACTATCTTGCTCAAGGTCACACCGCTGATAAAATTCGAAGCTGGAGTTTCAGCCAAGCCTTCTGGGACTCCGAAGCCCCACCCCTCCCCTTGCTGCCCTCCCTCCTCTGTTTTTGGGATTCCCTCCCAGCCCTCCTCTCCAGATACTTCCACCTCTGAGGCGCTCAGTGTCTCCCTGCCTCCCAGTGCCTGTGGTTCCATCACTGCCATCTCTCCTCTGGGTCCCCCCTCCTTGCAGCTGCCCGCTAGCATCAGGACAAAGGCCAAGTGGTTAAATCTCTCACCCTAAAAGTGAAAGGAGAGGGACCCTTGCAGGGTAATTTGCGTAAAGGGAGGTAAAACCTAGAAACTGGCATTTACTGAATCCATCCTGTGATTCAGGCCTTTCTTGTGTGCAGGGGGTAGAATTGTCCTCTGCGCAGGCTGAAGAGCACTGCTTTTGGCTTTGTGGTCATTTGAAAAATACTTATTGATGACCTACTATGTGCCAGCCACTTGCTCCTGGGTATATAACAGTGTACAGGAGGAGAGATAGAGGTATCTTCTCTCCTGATAGTGACATAGCATTCCAATAGTGGGATTTGACATCAAGGGGCTGGAGCAGGGACCACTTTATTAGGGTAGTCAAAGAGGGTGACATTTGAGCTGAGCCCTGAAAATAAGGAGCCAGGAGGGGGTTGAGGGAGGCTGGAGATCAAAGAGCACAATAGGTGGGCAAGAGCTGGTTCTTGAGGAGCCCTTGTGGGCCCAGGGCAAAGCATTATTATAATTGCCATGACAGACTGGAAGGTAGGGACTGATACAATCCGATTTCAGTTTGGAAAGGTCTCTCAGAGCTCTGGGGACAGAATAAATCTCAGGGAGGCCCCCTGGGAGGTAGTGTAGCCACCAAAGGTGGCTAGAGCTAGGGCAGAGGTGATGGAGTCAGGGAGAAGGCTTGAGCCCACACCTAGTGGATCCCACTCTGGCCTCCCTTCTGCCTCCCTTTTGCCCAGGAGCCACTGATGGCCCCCAGTTCCTACCCTGTTAAGCCTCAGCTTCCTGTAGCCTGGCATGGTCCTGCCTCAGTCTATGTCCCCAAATTTGTTTCTCACCATTCCCATCTCTGCCGGTACACAGACCGCCTTGATGTGCTTCCTGCCGGCACACCTCTCTGTGCCCTGCCTGCATGGTTCCCTGTACCTAGGGTACCCTCTCCAGTCTCCTTTCTGCATTTCCACCTGCTCCCCATCTGTCAAGTCCCAAGCAATGCCCCCTTCCCTATCACATACCCCTGGAGGCTGGAGGTCCTCTCCTCACTGCTTGAAGTCCTGGGCACCAAATGCTCCTGACCCCCATCCGAGAGTGAGTGATTAGCCTGAGGCCCGGCTGCCAAAAAATGTTTCTGGCAGGAAGGGATGGGTACACATACAGCTGTCTCCTGTCCCTGGGTCTTGCTGGCCTTAGATGTGAGAATCCTGTCTTCGCACACCCTGTCCCTTCTCTCCTCCTCCTCCTCCCAGGGGTGTCAGCCCGCCCACACACCCATTTCCGGGCCTATCAGCTGTTGTCTGAGTTGCCAATTCCTCAGGATAGGAGATTCCCCTCTCCTTTGAGGGCTCCCCTCAGCTCAGATCAGGCACCCTTGCCTCTCCCAGCAGCCCCACATTTTGCTGTGACCAAGTTGCTGTCCTCCTGGAAAGGCCCAGCCAATGCCAAAGGTGTCAATCACAATCTGCCCATCACACATAGATCCATCAGGCATCCAAGACACTCTTCACTCTGGCCAAAAGGAGGAATTTGCACCCTTGTTAGGAGAAGAGAGTCTTTAGAAGAAATGGAGTGCGTGTGTGGTGGGGGGCTCAGGTGGCAGTGCCCATAGGTGAGATGTGGGCAGTCACACACCAAGGGCACCTTTCCAAATACATAGCCTGTTTGCTCCCCCCACCGCATCCCCACCTGCTCCCACACAGGCAGACCATTAAATGAACTGGTGCTTTGTACATTGCGGGCACACAAACAACAGCCCCCTGAAGTGTGCAGATATCACATAGGTAGGGGTGGTGAGAGACAGACAGCAGGGAGAACTGGAAGTCCTGAGGAAGTAGGCATGGGGGGCTCAGTATGGTGATGAGGGGGCACTTGTGGAATTTTGAGTCCCAAGGAGGCAGTGATGGGGCCAGGATACCCGCTACTGTCGACTAGGTCTCTCTGTCCATTGTGTAACCACTGTGCTTGTCAGAGTCTCTGTTTCCTCAGCCCAGAGCCCTTAAATGTGCCCCTTTTTCTTCCTGCAGGAAGCAAGACCAGAGAGGGGGTGGTACAAGGAGTGGCCTCAGGTACCTGCCCAGCCCTGGCACAGCCCCTTTCCTTCCCCCAACCTGAGAGCTGACTGATTCCAGAGGGTAGGGGTAAGGGTCGTGGAAGAGGGAACCTCTAAGCTTTAGGGGGTGCTCCATGGGAAAGGCAGGTTCTGGGTCACTACAGGGGAGGGGACACCTATACCTCCTTCACCCTGGCTCCCAATCCCCTTCCCCAACCTTCTCCCCACTCTAGTGGCTGAGAAAACCAAGGAGCAGGCATCACATCTGGGAGGAGCTGTGTTCTCTGGGGCTGGGAACATCGCAGCAGCCACAGGCCTGATGAAGAAGGAGGAATTCCCCACTGATCTGAAGGTGAGCAATCCTCCTGCCACACACATGAATGAATGCAAATGCATACACATACCAGGCTCGCCCATAAATCTGCCACCAGGCTCCCTGCTCCCCCCAGCCAGCCTGGGGCACAAGCCACCTTGCCTCACCTGCAGGATCCTGTTAGACTCAGTTCAGAATGAGCCTGTGAAGGCGTGTATAGATGTGGTGCTCCCTGTGACCATGACCCAGATCTGGCTGTGCACATGTATCCTGCTTGCAAGTGTGACCTGAACCACTTCTGGCTATGTTTGCATGTGTCATTGATTATTCATTCATCGCTTTTCATTCAACAAGTATTTATGCCAGAGAGGAATTGTTCTAGGGATTTCTGCAATGAATAGTTACCTACATTCATGGAGCTGACCTTTCAGTGAGAGAAGGTGTAAAAAGCCAACCAACAAGCAAGATGATTTCAGACAGGGATAAGTGCTGTGAAGAAAAGACAACCAGGTGATAGTAGAGATAATCAAGGGATGAGGGGGCTACTTTAGCTGAGAGGGCTTTTCTGAAAAGGTGACATTTGAGCTAACACCCAAGGGATGAAGCAAGCCAAATGGGAAATGTATTTCAGGCTGTAGGAAAAGCTCATGCAAAGGCCCTGAGACAGGTACGAGCAGGTGTGGGCCATGGGGGAGGGGTGAGTTGTATGTCACACGTTTGTGCAGTCATGTTCTCCCAGGGGAGTGGTGGTGGCTATCCCTGTGTGCGTAAAGACAGGTGCCTGCAGTAGGATACACGGCAGAATAAGGGTTATGAGCTCTGGAGCCTCACAGAGCTGAGTCTGAATCCCAACTCCACTACTTCCTGACTGTGTGACCTTGGGCAGGTCCCATCCTGTCTCTGAGCCTGAATCTTTGCCTGTAACATGGGAGATGAACACAATAGGGCTCTTATGTAGATTAGAGATAATATAGATCAGAGGTTTCTCAAAACTTAAGTGTGCATCAAAATCACCAGGAGTCCAAGTTAAAATACAGACTGTTGGCCCAACCCGAGAATTTCTGACTCAGTAAGTCTGAGCTGAGGCCTGAGAATTTGTATGTCTAACAAGTACCCAGGTGATGCTGATGCTGCAGGTTCAGGGACCCCACTGTGAGAACCACTGATAAAGAGCCAGGCTTGCATACAGCGAGTGCTCAGTAAGAGACAGTGGCCCCATGACCATGTGAGCAGCCCTTGTCTGCCCTCCGTGGCTCTTGTGATCACTGGCGTGCGTGGAAGTGTACACACACTCTGTATGCACTCTGTGGGCGCACACATCTGCACAGACATCCATCCTCCTGTGGGATGCTGCATGTCTGTCCACGTATAAGTGCAGACTCTGCCTCTGTGATGGTAGGGGCTCCTTCTGCATCTGGTTTGGGAGATCAGTGTACATTCCACATGAGTGTATCCATAAAGCTGTGGGAGGAGACCCCGCCTACCCTCCACTCAGATATTTTGCACAGTTGGTTCCTTCTCTGGCGGAAGTCTGGGGTTTGACTCAGTTCAAGTCCTGCCTATGCATTTTACCATCTGTAAGGCTTCCCATTTCTTATAATTATGTTTCAGTGATTGCTCCCATTCATTGACCTCTTATATGGGCAGGCATTGCTCTAGACATGTTACATGGAGTAATTCATTGACTCTTCACAATGTCCCTATGTGGAAGGCATCACAATTAGCCCATTTTTCAGATGTAGGAACTGAGGCTCAGAGAGGTGAATGACTTGTCCAAGATCCCATGCCTGCCTGCTTCCCTGAGAAGGTGGTTGGGAGGATAAGCTCAGGTCCATATCATTGGAGTCACTTGGTGCCTACATGGTGGTAGGTCCTTTGCTAGGGGCAGGGGTTCAAAGAGAGGCAGGTCTGGGCCTTTTGTGAGGGACGTTTGCACAAAACCATCTTTCTCCAGCCACCTTCCTCCTACCAGCATTTGACACCTCAAGCCTAGTTTCTCAAGGAAGCTCAAGGTTATAGATTTACAATCCAAACCACAGCCCTTTGGGGCTACTGGGCATAGGGAAACCCGTGCAAGCCCAGCGTACGTGTTCCTGAGTGTTTCTCCATCCCAGCCTGCTCACATGTGTTATCATAGAAGCCTCCTGTACTCCTACAAAGCGGAGATGCCATCTCATTTCACACTCAAGGCTGCTAAGATCAGCGGTGAAGTGACTTTCCTGATGCCAGACAGCTAGTGAGAGCCAGGCTGGGAAATGTCCTTGTGTTACCAGCACCCAGATCAAGACAAAACATCAGCCCCTTCAGAAGCCCCACCTTCTACCCCCTTCCAGTCCTTACCCCCAGGGCCAAGACTAAGGTAAGATGAGGGAGGTATCTGGGGCACAGAATTTAAGGGGTGCACTCATTCTGGGGTCTCATTTCCATGGCGCTGAGAATGGGTGCCTTCTCAACACCTGTACCCTCAGCGCCTTACTCTCCCCACCTTCGGCCTGGCCCTGCCTCCCCATCTGTGCTTCCTGACGTCCATCACCACAAATTAGTTGGGCGTTTTTTTTGTTTGTTTGTTTTTTAATAGATTTTTATTGATTTCAGAGAGAGGAAAGGAGAGAGACAGACAGACAGACAGACACGTCAATGATGAGAGTGTCATTGGGGATTGAGCCCACAACCCGGGCATGTGCCCTGACCCGGAATCGAACCCTGATCGGCTGGATCCTAGGTCGATGCTCAACCACTGAGCCACGCCCGGCTGGGCTTGTTTGTTTTTAATGTTTTTTATTGATTTTAGAGAGGAAGGGAGAGGGAGAAAGAGAGAAACATCAATGATGAGAGAGTCATTGATTGGGTGCCTCCTGCACCCCCCCGACTGGGGATCGAGCCTGCAACCGGGCATGTGCCCTGACCAGGAATCGAATCTCGATCTCCTGTATCATAGGTCGATGCTCAACCACTGAGCCATGCCAGCTGGGCTAATTGGGTGTTTTTTAACTTCATATAAATGTTATCCTAATGTACATGCTCTTCTGTATCTGGCTTCTTCCACTCAAAAGGAAGCCATGCTATGCAATGTTGGTCTCCATATTTATTGTGCAGTATCCATGTGTGGTGAAATTAAAAGGCACATATACTTCTACTCTTATTGGACTTCTGAGTTGTTTCCAATGTGCTTGAGCTGGAAATTTTTTAAAATTTTTGTAAAAATTTATTTTAGAGAGAGGAAGGGGAGGGGAGAGAGAACCAGAGACACATCTATGTGAGAGAGAAACATTGATTGGTTGCCTCCCATGCCCTGATGGGGGATGGAACTGAAAACCTGGGTATGTGCCCTGACCAGGAATCAAACCTTCCACCTTTTGGTATACGAGACAATGCTCTACCCAGCTGAGCCACACCAGCCAGGGCTCAAATTGGAATTTTTAACACTATGTTTCTTTCCTGGATTCTGGGTGACTTTGAGCAAACATTTCTCCAACTCCTGGGCCTTAGTATACCCATCTGGACACTGGGGGAAATGAGCCAGGTCAGGAGCTGTAAACTCCTGTGCCCATGGGCCCCACCTAGACAGGTAATTAGAAGGACCTGAAGCTGCTTGGATGGAGTTGGTTAGAATGCACAATGGTAGGCCTTGATGCCAGTCCTTCAGGGTCCCAAGAGTCTTATCTCCACGCAGTAGTAAGGGACAGTGGTACTTGTGGAAGTGGGGGAGGTGGTATGCTCTCCTCCCTACAGGTTCCCCCAGGGGTCCAGGTATATGCCAGCCCATGTGGCCTTGTGCAGCCAAGCACAGGACCCCAGGTTATTATTGTGTGTGCCTGTGTGCAGCCAGCTTCATCCTGTGTTTGTGCACATACATGTGCTCACCTGCAAGTGGCTGGCCATATGTCTGGCAGCCCCTCGGCTGCATGCCTGCTGGTCTGCACAAGGCTGGGCATCAGATGCAGGGGGAAGGGAGAGTCTTAGCTCACACGTCCAAGCAACACCACTGAGCTGTTGCTTCCAGCTTATCTTAAAATAGCAACAGCTGAAGAAACCAGGCCACACAGGGCCCTGGGGGAGGGATGGGTGGAAGGTGGCAGGGGAATGGCTCAGAGCCCCTGCCCATCCCATCCCTGAGCCTCCATCTCTCTCCAGCCCAGAGGAGCCTCCAGGGTTATCTCTGGGGTCCCAGTGCCCCACACAGAGCTAGGGATAAATAGGTGACTGTATATGCCATCTATCTTCCCATCCCATTCAGTTCAAATGATGAAAGTGCAGGAGGCTGCCAGGTGCTGGGGAGAAGGGTTTTGAGAGCCCTGCTCCACTCCCCACCCCCAGCTTCAAGCAGGATTTGGAGGGACTTCACTCCTCATGCATTCATCCCACTTCCAAGGTACTCCAAATAAACAATTTAACTAGAAATTCTGGTTGCACTGCCAACAAAGCCTAGCCTTCCCCTAATCAGCCAAGAGCTTCCCAGGGTAAGAATTTGGGGGGCATCCCCAGCTGCCCTCACAGGCCCTGTCCTTTCTGTGCCTGCAGCCTGAGGAAGTGGCCCAGGAAGCTGCTGAGGAGCCACTGATAGAGCCCCTGATGGAGCCAGAAGGAGAGAGCTATGAGGAACCACCCCAGGTGAGGGGTGGCAGGGCTGGGTGGGGCTTTGGGCATCCTAGAGGATAGCTGCCATCTCCAGCCTGGGTGGGAGGTCCCTGGAAGGGTAGGGTTAGTCCAGAGTTCTTCAGGTCCCCATTTTTTAGAACCCAGGCCCCCGGAGGTCTCAGCACGGAGGGAGGACAGATGCAGTATAGCACTGGGCCCCAGGCACCTCTGCCCAGGACTGGCCAGGCTGTCCCCAACTTCCAAGTTCCTTGCCTGCCCATGGGGAGGGGATGCACTTTTCCTCCTTGACAGGCAGAGGTCTCAGGCCCAGAGCCTGGCCCCTTGGTTTCCAACCCCTTCCTCTTTTGCTCTTCTCCACTCTACCCCAATCCCTCTGATGCAGGAGGAATATCAGGAATATGAGCCAGAGGCCTAAGGGGCCAGGAGGGCCCCCCACCAGCAGCACAATCCCTTCCT